ACAAAATCGGTGACTTCTACTTCAAGAGCTATGCTGTGGGCAGGTATGTAATTACATAAGAATTAGGTCTCCTTGCGTCAACATTAGTGCCGTCATTTAACTCCGTGGCATGTAGTCTGTAAACGAACTATACCGACCGAGCGACCCCCGCTTGTCCGCGAATGCGGATAGAGGGTGTCACGTGGTAAGCGCAGCGGATCCCCACGGCCGTTAATCTCGGTTATCTAGACCGGAGCCGCTATTACCTTCAAATAGCTCCTCAATTATCCTCACGAGGTTGAGTGGACCCCGTTCCAGAGCCAATACTTCTCAGAAAATCTGGTAGCGCGAGGAATCGAACACGGATCTCTGGATTTGTAGCCAGGAACTCTGACCACTAGACCACAGAGACGGTCTCTGGATTGACACAAAGCTACAATAACATAAACCTGTGTTTCTTTAAATAATACGTAAACGTTGGGAAGATAACGACGCATGCGCAATACAGTTTAATGCAGAAATGTCAGCTCATCGACGCTCTTGAACAACAGCGCTGACATGATAAAGGAGAGGTGCGGCTCCAGATATTGGAGTGGTGTGTACTGCGGGTATGAAATCGAACTCCGCCAACCATTTATGACGTTGAGGTTGGCAGGGTGAAATAATAGGACGTGGGAGCATAACATATCCCGCCGCGATTGTAATCCGAGCCGAGGTGAGGTGAGAAGGAGCAGCAGGGTCGCCGCCGAAAGAGATGAGCGAACTTCTACAACCGCCTTTCTTTTCCACGTATATTAAAGCGTGCTAAGAGGGAGAGATAGAATTCAGGAGACGATTGATTTCTTCGCCCACACATATTAAGATTTCTGCCATCTGCAGTCAAAATACAACTGACAAGGAAGTCTGCGAATAACTCCTTACACTTACTCACGTTGAAAGCGGCCTCCGTAGTCTAGAGGTAACGTTCCCACCTCATGACTCGTGGTACGCGGGTTCAAATACCCGGCGGAGGTCGTCGAATTTTTAAGGGCGGAAAAATTCAGGGAACAAGTCCTCCTGGAGGGACTTTAAGCTGTGTGTCCCGTGTCGTAACTTTACGGCACGTAAAAGAACCTCATATCCCCAAAGGGGATCACTGAGCCAAATTCCAGGACGTTTCCCGCCCAACAATAGCCTCTAAGGCCTCTGATAGATGGGGGAAGCATTATAGACACCGCTAAGCAAGTGGCCGAACTCGCTTGCTCGGCGGGACTGATGGTACGCACCATTTATCGGTAGGGTAAAGAGACTGGTAGAATATCATAGAGGGAAGCACAATAGATCAAACTGGTCGCGGTGCATGGGGAAACCCACCCTCTCTAAATAACTAACTAGCTACTCACGTTGAAATGTTGCACCTTGGAGTGTGAAAAAAAGTAACAAGAAGGTCTGGGAAGAACTAATCTCCTATTTTCCTTTGATACTACACTGACCGCACAGAAAACGACCTGTAAAACAATTCTTCTATTGTTGCACATGTGTTCGTTGCCGCTTGAACGTTTCTACCAGGCCGATGAGTAGCAACGATAGGGTATACACGTACATACACACTTACATACATAAAGGGCCGCGCCATAGCTCAAGCGGTTAGTCGCTGGCTTCCCATCGCGGCGGCCCGGGTACGATCCCGGGTTTAGTGAAGTGGGATTTGTGGTGGACAAAGTGGCGCAGGGTTTCTCCGAGTACTTCGGTTTCCCTTGCCAATCTTCATTCCACCAATTGCTCCACAATCACCCTCACCTATCATCTGGGGCTGGTACAATAGGCCAGAAGTGGCCGCAGTACAAGGGACTTAGTCCCACTCCACTAACAATAAAAAATACATATATAATTATGGGAGAGATTTATGAAATGCCCCATTCATGTGGGCTCAGGTGCCATAATACTCGTATACAGTCCAGTATTCATAAAGATCGGTTTACACATTCAAAAGTTAATCTCTTACTCTTGCCGGAAACTGAACCCCGCCCGCCCAGCCCGTAGCTACACCGATTGGCCTTTCCAGCTCTAATGAATTATATACAGAATGGGGCGCAGAAACTACCTTTTTGTGAAGACGAATTGTGAAGGGAGGATAGGTCGCAGAAAAGTGGGGATAGGCTCGGCGAACGCAGCAGTCGCGGAAGTTTCTGTCTAATACCCCTCAGTAGCAAACATAAGGTGGACGAGTGTGCAGCGTGTTTGCTGTCGAAGCCTATCCTTCGAACACCCATTCCTATGTGGCGGTGCAGCGTGCGTTCCGTACTCACTTCGGAATTAAGCCCAGAGGTCCGGGGACAACCGGGAGTGTGGTGAAAAAGTCATCAGGACGACAAAGGACCGTTACGCCAGAAAATGTGGAGGCATTCGACAGTCGATTTTGAGATCTCCAAGACGCTCCGCTCGCAAACATGCAGTCGCCCTAGACATATCCAATCGTTCAATGCCGAATTCTTCACGAACATCTTCATTTCCATCCCTATAAGATGGTTCTTGTGCAAGAATTGTCACCACGTGATTTCCAGAACCGAATAACGGCGTGCGAAACGTTACTGGAAACTTTACCCCCTGACACACTTGTTTTCTTTAGTGATGAGGCACATTTTCACCTACGGGGATATGTCAAGAAGCAGAATATGCGCTATTGGAGTGGTAACAATCCCAGAGAGCTCCATGAGAGGCCGCTTCACAGTGATAAGGTGACAGTATGGTGTGCGTTGTCGAGAGTTGGAGTTATTGGCCCTTATTTTTTTGAAGAAGACAATCATGCAGTTACTGTCGATTCACAGCGGTATGTGGACATGATTAAAAACTTTTTCGAACCAGCTCTTGAAGAAATGCATCTAGGAAATGTCTGGTTCCAACAGGATGGTGCCACGGCCCATAGAGCCCGTGCTTCGATGACAGTTTTGAGGGAAAAGTTCCCCGGATGGCTCATCTCGCTTCGAGGTAACATCCCGTGGGCAGCGCACTCACCTGATCTAACTTAACGCCTTGTGATTTTTTTATGGGGATACCTCAGGGCAGAGGTATTTAAACATCGCCCCACAAACCTGCTTCAGCTGAAGAATGTTATTCGGCAGGAAGTAGCCCAAATTCCGGTGCACATGTTGGAACGTGCAGAAGGGAACTTCAGAAAACGGTTGCATCAGTGCATAGAGAACGGTGGCCACCACCTTCAAGATATTTTGTTTAAAACTCCATGATTTAAAACTTTAAAGTATGTTCTTTCATTAGCTAAACATAAATTCTGTCTATCAGCAATAATTTTTCTTTTATTCGCCTTCAAAAAAGGAAGTTTCTGCGCCCCACCCTGTAGCTTCATTCATTTCAGTACATAATCTCAGTTTGTACATATTCCAGTTGCGTTAGTTTGTCAGATATAACATCGAAGTTTCGCGCCATGGCCATGTTTGCAAACACCGATGGCGAGTACTTCTTAAGTGCACGTCTAAATGTTAATTCCGTTAAGCGGCTAACAGTCTCTTGAAAAGCGATGTTCGTAACATGTTTCATAACAATACAGTAGTGTATAAACTGAAGTCATGTGGGATGAGTCACAGGCAGTACTGGAGGGCGGACAGACGGACACGTCGGCGCTTTCCTTTAAATAATGAAAACATGCTAAAATTGCTAGGGTAGCTGGTTGCATTGTAATTGTTTTCTACTGGTATGTTAAATTTCCATTTTAGTCCAGGTTACATTTAAATTTCAAAGTTCCTCCTTCAGAAGCACAGCCACTATGGATTCGCGTTCAGGTTCAACAGACCTCAGACGCGCTGCATTCGACACGGTAGCACCCTAGGCCCCAAAAGAATAAGTGAATGCTTTGAACTCAATGGACCTGTATTTGAAACACTTTCTGAAAGGTTTCCTTTTTCAAGCGTTCTTTATATAACGTGAACTCATAACGGAGAAACCGTTATTGTCTACCTGTCCGTCCAAATGTACAGTCCACAGAACTGTTTTTGGTCAACCGGAACAGCAACCAAAAAAGGCATGGCATTAGTTTTTATGGAATCTGCTACAATGCTGACACAAGGAGAAAGATGTTTTTATTTGATATGTAACTGAATTTGACAACTAATAAATTCCTCGAAAACTGTGACAAAGTTCAAATACTCTAGAAATACAGAAATAAATCAAAACGACGTCCACGATGCAATAATTAGGAGTATAACTGGATCTGAAGTCGGAAAATGCTTGCTACCTTGTAGCTCAGAATTCTGATATCTTCCCGTGACGGAATTATTTCTTGAGTTTTATTACAGATCTATACGAAACTGCGATTCTACTTTTTTGTTTATATGAGTGTGAAATGACCTCGTTCTAATTGTAAAAAAGAAAAAAAAAGAGACTGAAAGTGTTGGAGAACAAGGCGTTTAGGACAATGTTCTGACGTAAAAGAGAAGAAACACGAGAACGTAGAAAAACTTAATAAGGATAACCTTCGTAATTTGTACGTAGTCTTCACCAGATATTAGGGTGTTAAATCTAGGGGGGGTGCAGTCTAGACGAGCGATGAAAGACTCATAGGGGAAATAAGAAATACAAACAACATTCTGGTCGAAAAACTTCAAAGGAAAAGTCTCGCAAAGGCCTATAAGTAGTCAGTAGTATAATATTAAAATGAATACTACAGATACAAGATGAGGATGTGGACTGATTTCAACTGGCCCAGAATAGGATCAACTACCAAGATGTTGTACACATGGCAATGGAATTTAGGGTGACAAAAGGTGACGATTCTTTTTCGGCAAGTAAGCAACTATCAGAAGAAAAATCCTGCTCCGGTCAGTTGATCGGGTTATGTGGCGACTATTCTGGAGAGTCCTCGCAACGTCTGGATGGTGGTAAACCCCAACTGTTCCAGTGTTTAATTAAACTTCATGTAGGCTCTACGCTTCAAAAACTACCAAATATGAAACATAATTACTGAATTTGACAAGAGCGGATTGGCTTGCCTGAAAAAAAAAACTATTTCCATTTTTATTCTGTTACAGAGATTCAATATTCATGTACCAGGTACTGTGGAAGTGCAGCCCTGCTTCGAACCCAGGATACGCATTGGTATATACACACAGTTGTAAGATTCAACGTGAGCCAACGCTGAACTAAGCTACAACATATGACGACCACAGAGAAGGTACGCAAACACATATCAAAAACAGCAATATTTTACGTCATCACCCAATGACGTACTCTGCATGAACATCAACAGGCCGTAGCGGCCCATGTTATATTATTCATATTACATCTACTGGCGCATTAGCTCGGGCGTAACAACTCACACACTGAGAGACGCCCAATAACGTGCTTTCCAAAATAACATAACACGAAATCTTTGAACACATGAGGAAATTTTAACATAATATTCCATAATCTTAGCAACTGTTCTGATTGCTTTAATATTTTAGGTTTTAATTGTATAACTTCCAATTTCATTCCCAAGGCCTTATTTCGTAATATAACATCTCGCCAACATGACGTCATCACATGCAAAAAAATATTAATATTTTAATATATCTTCAATACAATTGTAGTACAATTCATTGTATACATAATCTTAATACGGTAATTTATTATATTCTAATCTAGACTTACTTTTGTAATCTGAACGTGTTGCACTAAATATGGATCCATGTTGGGAGTTCAAATAACTTTAGTCGTTAGATCATAATACTGCCTGATGATGGCCCCACGAGGATCGAAACATGCAGCTGTAGGAGAATAATCGTACAAAGTCAAGAGTACTGATTGATTGTATAACCACGATTGTTGTGTTGAAGGAAAACTTACGCTGCCATTTGCTTATGACGCACAACGGGACGCACATTGTGAACACAGAAATCCTTACTTAAACTGAGAGTTCTCCCAAGTCCATCCTACAGAGTTTATTTAAATCGGCGTTCTCGGTGAGGGGTGCGCCAATTCTTTGGTAGCTTCTTCTGAGACTTCTGCTTCCACTTCCTCTCCTGTATGGTGACTGTTAATTGCTCTTCCACTGGCCCTTACACTTCCACTGGATCTACGGCCTGCAACAATACTTCTACCACTTCTACCACTTCTACCACTAGCAGTTTACTTCAGGTAAAGTTAACCCTGTGTAATAAGCTAATGTAGCTATATAAAGTGAACGGTGTAGTGTGCTAATTGCATAAGTGTCATACTAGAATTCATTAAGTGACAGTGAACTTAATAAATTAATCACGTGTTATCGATTAAGCTGCTGCTTAATTTCACGTCGCCCTTATCTGTACAATTCCTTGACCTATAGTGAGTCCACTGAGGTTCACACGCAACATTCCCTGAGAGAAATTCTTGCTCTACCGAAACCATTAGTTACCCTACTGAGAAATGATCGCGGATACAGATGCTGTAGCGCTTAATTATATCGGCTAAAGAACTTCAATCTTCATACATACGTTACTTTACTTTACGTACTGTCACGTGTCCTGGTAACGCGACAAGAAATTAATGGGTTCCGGATTAGCAGAAGCTGTTTATTGGATAAGTCGTTTACAATTACAGCTACAATCGCTCCGAAATAGCGTCTTCCAGATGATGCAACCTGATTAGTCTGTCGTCTCTTTGCTCTTTGTCCTCAGCTCTGCTGGTTTCTTCTGCTCCCAGCTCTGCTCTCTTCTGGTCTTCGCTCTGTTCTCTGTTCTGAACTGTTTTCAGTTCTCCTCTTATCTGTTCTGTTTGGTCTCTTATATTCTACCGTCGGACGGAGTAGAAGATACCGTCTTCAAGCGTTCCGTTTCACGTGTTCTATCCGCCGGTAGCTAGTGTATTCGTTGCAGCGGGAACCTGTTTCATTGTTGCCCCGACGATGCGGAACCGTGGGTACCGAGCCGTTGCCTAGCAATGGACGGCCGCTCAGACTCAGACATTCTGGCTTTTAGGCGGCTCGCCACAGTACTTTATTTTCCGTGCTTCTAGAATATATTAAATAGTTTCACATAAAATCTGCTTTGTAAACTATTAAGCCGGGTCCAGACTTGTTGCGTATCCCCGTATCGTATCAGTGTGGACGGTACCCCGTATCATCCTTTGCAAAATGTTGATACGGCGACACGCAACGGGCTGTTCGCTCGCTTGGCGGCCTTTTCCCGTCGCATCAAAGGGACGACACGCGTTGCAGTGGTGCCAGTCTGGAAGTGCACGCGATGAATTGCGCTTTGCTTCTCAGCTCCGCAGAAAGGCCAGTTGGAGTGTATAGTCATCACCAGTGTGCGTTCTTCTATTTCTGATTCAATGTTTACACTCTGGAAAGTATAATTTTGCCTGTGGTTCTGTATGGGTGTGAAACTTGGTCTCTGACATTAAGGGAGGAACATAGACTGAGGGTGTTTGAGAACAGGGTGTTGAGAATAATATTTGGACCGAAGAGAGATGAAGTGACAGGAGGTTGGAGAAAACTGCATAATGAGGAGCTTCATAAATTGTACTGTTCTCCAAGTATAATTAGAATGATCAAGTCAAGGTTGAGGTGGGCAGGTCATGTAGCACGAATGGGGGAGACGAGAAATGCGTATAGGATATTGGTAGGAAAGAGACCACTGGGAAGACCAAAGCGTGGGTGGGTGGACAATATTAAAATGGATCTTAGAGAGATAGGATGCGATGGTATTGACTGGATTGATCTGGTTCAGGATAGAGACCAGTGGAGGGCTCTTGTGAACACGGTAACGAACCTTCGGGTTCCATAAAATGCGGGAAGTTCTTGAGTAGCTGCAGAATTGGCGGCTCCTCCAGAAGGGCTCAGCTCCAGGAGTAAGTTTATACTCTGAATGGAGTGGAGTAAGGAGAGCATTATGCATTTAATAGAAAAATATAAGAGGAGGGACGTGATTTGGAACCCCCAAAACACAGAACGTTTCAATAAAATAAAAAAGCAGGACGCATGGGAGGAGATAGGAAAGGAAATGAACGGATCAGTTCAGGAATGTAAAAGAAAAATGGAGCACTTGCTGGCTTCACCAAGGGGAGAGAGAATGAAGATGAAGAAACAGACCGGAACTGAGATTCAGCTCATTTCTTCGTTGCCTTCTTGGGAGGAGAAATTTTGTCGCGTTGCGTCGCTTGATACGCAACGGAGATACGCAACAAGCCTGGACTCGGCTTTAAATGTCATTTCACAAGGCCAGTTGCTGTTTTCAAGACGCGATAGTGATGTTCGGAATGCAATTCGGCTATAATCGTTACTGTGTGGGTGTGTCAGTAGAGAAGAGCATTACAGCTCCGTTACACACTCACCATGTGTTTGCTGGTTCCTGCTGCATGCAGTTTAAAGGCCGGCTGAGCGCCGTACTGCCCAACCCAATTGGAAAAACTAAACTTTCACCAAATACGTTTTCAAAATCCATCAACATTTTGAATCCCCGAAAGTTGTTCTGTAATGCCAAGGTGTTGAGGCTAATCCACGAAATTTCTATGGGAGCCAATAGTACGTCTCTAGTGCTCCTTTGAACGCCAACTACTTTCTTTAGTTGTAAGGTAAAGGTGGTTGATCATAGTGGCTGCGCGGTCTAGTGCATCAACTGTCTTCGCTCGCTTGAACACTGAGATTGTGGGTTCGAATTCCACTCAAGGAGTGGATGTCTGCCTGCGTTTGATTATGTAGCGGTCTTGAGACGGGTTGATCCCCCGTCCAGGAGTCCATGCTCTAAAATGGGAGCAACAGGGAGTGAGAGAGAAAGAAAGGGTAAACTTGTCTCTATGCTTAATTACGAGTAGTTAAGCACTCTGCCATGAAGATATATGGTGGGGTGGAGGTACACCTCCGCCTTTCTTGACCTCGGCACTAGTTGGAGGTGAGTGGTCAGCTTCACGCCCCTGCCGCTTTACCTCCCGGGGAAAGGGCCCATGGTACCTACTGGATACTGGGCCCAAGTCAGTCTGGACGCTGTAAATACGCAAAATTAGTAACAATGACTTCGTAACGAAAGTTTATAGAGTGCCACTGACTGTCGGCTCTATCATGTTCACAGTCGAGGCACCAGCCTAACTGAAACAGAACTCCTTTGCTACTGGCAACTGCAATCATTCATTCCAATGTGCAAGCCCTGACGTCTCCATAAACGTCCTCTATTTAGACAAGCCCAAGCTTCCCGCGCGCAGGAGCGCTGAAGGGTATATGGTTGAGGCACTCGGTAATTTTGAAATTGATAGTAAAGATAGATGATGCTGGAAGTTGGGCTGGCGGACAGACAATGTGTGTGTGTGTGTGTGTTGGGGGGGGGCTCATCTCAGTAGTTGGCCCTGAGCCAGCTCATCGCTCCAGCGGTCACAAAGAATCGCATGATGGACGCGCGAGGGATCTTCCTTCGCTTCTCTTTTCTTCTCCACTCAGAGGTCTACATCCAACCTCCATACTATAAATCTTCAATCGGGAAAAAAGAGAAACGAGGCCTGCGTGAACGCTCAGAACAAAGAGTTCAAGGAATCCATAGACGATGGAATAAGGCGATAAAGAAGGTGGCCTACGAAGATGGAGATATGCAATAAAGAAAAATTATCTTAAAGAGTGGAAAGGACGTAGGGAATTCATGGAAGAGCGGAGGGCAGATTCAGAACTGAGAAAAATGATGAACGGGAGAGGGCGATTATAAGCAAAACAGGGTACCTTATGCAAGGAAGATTCATACCAGAATGGCATGCGGACACTGAAAGCAGTGACACCCTGAGGCCCACAGGGGAACACATAACACGCAATACACTTAAAATAAAAATAAGAAAATATTAAAACGGGACATTCCCGTATGTTTAACCGCCAGATAATGTAGTATTTATGCGAAGGGCAGGTAAAACTCGACGCATTATTCACTTAGACACCGAACAGGTGTGGTCAGCTTTATGCTCCACTTGATTTGCCCCCGAATATAAAGCTTTTGGTATCTGCTGGAACGGGAGCTGGGTGAGCCTCAGTAATACTGTGGATGTGAAATCTAACAGAAAAACTCTGGCTGCCACGAAGCGAATCCTGATCGTCCAATCCCTATAAGTCACTACACTGAGCTACACCGGATCTCTATAAAGGTAAGTTGTCCGTGTGCTTACATAATTAAGCGAAGGCGTATGGGGGAGTGAACCTTGCCAATAGCTAGAGGTGAGCGGGCAGCTTCACGCCCCAGCCGCTTT